GTCTCATGTACAGCATTTGAGCTGTCTGCAGAAAATGCCCATTTTAGAATCCCTTTCACTGCTGAGGGACAATCTTTTTCAATTAAGAATTCAAGTTGTATACTTTTTAGACTTTTAACTATTTTACACTGTGTTTTACAGCACTTTTAACATTACACAGTCTATATATTTTTTAAAAGCAAGATTGCTCAGTTGGACAAAAGTACACAACCTTCCACCTTCTTCATAATTAATTTAAAGTCTTAACTTGTTTTTTTACAGTGGGTTCTGGTTTTAAATTAAGCTTATATTCTGTACTTCATAAAAAGTTATAATGTTTTATTTTTATCTAAGAATACATAGTAAAAAGGAGGAGACACTGAGCTCAGTATTACACAATGACCATTCTATAGAGCGGAGTGCGAATGGCACCAATCATGTCTGCATTTATCACTTAGTTTTTAAAATTAAGCAACGTAAACCATTATCTTTTTCCTCTAAGTCCCTTAATTAACTTTAAACAAAGCTTTCTCACATTTAGATTTCTTTTTTATACCATGGTTAAAGCATGAGCTTTTTGTACTTCCTAATGGCATCACATGTGGAAAGATTAGATTGTATTCATTTTTACTTTTTAAATACATTTATACAAATACCACAAAACTATTCTTGATTGTATTTCTGAATGTTATGGCACACTTAGTTCAACGTTTTAAATACATCTAAATAAGAAAGTCAGGTGTAAACATAAATGATTAGTAATCATTAATATTAAGATTAGCATAAATAAACTGTTGCACTTTTTCCGCATCTTGTAAAAATATTATTTTACAAATCATTGTTCAAATGTACATTAAATCAGAAAATAAGTAAAATACAAAATGAATAATGAAAAAATAGGGTCAAATATAATTTCAAATATTTTGCTAACAATCAACAATAATAATGGCACAGTGGTTAGTATGCCTTTTGTGTGTTTTTTCATAAATACAACAGTAGCACAGAGGCACAGTAGCTCAGAGGCATTCAAAATTAAATAATGCATGAAAATCTTTGAACTAGAAAGATGACTAAGTTATCCATCCATTTTTAATGGTGGCACAATGATTAGCTTTGCTTGCCATGCAGAGGCCCTAGGTTCATTTCCTGAGGTTTTGTATTGTGGAGTTTGCATGTTCTCTCTGGGTTCATGTGGGTTTTCTCCAGGTAATCTAATTTTGCTTTGCAGTCCAAAACATACTAGTAGGTTAATTGGTTTATTAGAATACTGACCCTTGTTTAAGTTTGTGTGTGTTTGTGTCAGTTTGTTTGCCCTGTGATGGATTGATACTATGTCCAGGGTATATTCTGCCTTGCATCCGTTTCTTGCCGGGATAGACTCCAGCTACTCTGTAAAGGATAAAGAGATTAGAAAATGGATGGAACTAAGGGCACTGTGTAAATACTGTATACACAGTGATAGAAACCCACTATGAGATGACAGGATCTCTCTGAGGTTAAATTATTTTATAATTTAAGGAGTCAGCCTTTCCACTTCTCTGGATCTGATCAATCGAACTACCTATTTTCTGTGTTTTCCCTATCCTGCTTGATTTATAATTATTCTGAAAATCTCCTTGAAATGGGTGATTAATAAATACCAGTGTGTTTTCACTGTTAACATCTTGCACCAACTGTGTGATAAAATATACACTGAGCTCAACCTGACAGATGCTGAGTCCTTAGTCCATCCTGCTACCAGCATTGAATAAAAAATCATTAGATTTCAATATTTATATCTTTAGAAGTTCCATTAGTGACAAAGGCTAAATTACTTTCTTGGAAAAATGTATTTTATGTGTTGCAAAAAAATGACTTGCTTTAACAAAATATACAAATACTTTCTCCTAGCAATCTACCTGAATGCCCCACTGTTTGAGAAGCCTTCCATGAAACCACGTTTGCTTTTTATTCATATAAGGTCTCTCTTACTGAATTCCTCTGTTTTTCATGTGTGCTAAGTTTCTGACTATCCTAACAAACCTTCGTAGTCTCCCTACCAGAAATGCACTTGGTTATTTAAGCCCCTAACTCTCTGCCAAATTTTTTTTCAGGTTCACGTTCTTTTGTTACACTTTTCTGTGATTTTTGCTTTTGCAAGTGTTCCCACATCCCTCTTCTGCACTGTCTGGTCATGGCTTTTTTTCTGTTTGGTTATTTCAAGTAACACCTGCACCAATTATAAAACTTTTTGCTCATGTGCATTTTGTATTTTCACATTTATTTACATCTCTAAAACTTTAACATAACAAATTTTTATTTGCCTTAATTTTGAAAAATGAATTTCAGCCTTAAAAAAGTTTATCACTTTTGTTTCTTGTCCTACAGAGCTCTTTAATCGTGAAGAGCCCAGCATTTTTACATTGCTCTATTAAATAGACAGGTTACTTGGACATAACGTTTTCATTGTATTTGGCATAGTGCACTACTTGGACATAATGCATTGGATGTAATGTACAAGCTGGACATATAGCAGTTCTATTTGTATTGAGTTTATTTTCATTTTATTCAATTTTTATTGCACTATTGTTATGTAACTTTATTTTGTAACTTTTAATTTTTTGATCCCCCCGCCGAGTTTGCAGAAAAGACATTTCATTGTCAGCAATTACTGCTGCACACTGTATTGTTGTGCATTTGATAAATACATTTTTATTTAATTTTTAAGCTGTTATTACTGATCACCGAATTATTGCACTTGACATTGCTTAATTCACCCCATTTCCTGAACGTCTATCACAAGCAGAACTAGTGCTGTCTCTGGTGCGATCTTTTTACAGCTGAAATTTCATTTTGTTTAAACGAATAAGAAATTAGATTGTTTATAAATCTAATCACTTATTATATGTAAACACAAAGTAATTGCTCTATGAAAATGTTCTTTTTCTTGTTCGTTTTGGGTGAAAATGACTGTTTAATTCAAAGAAGGAAGTCCATGAAGTGAAACACATCAGCAATGGTGAGGCTTAAAGCAGAGAAAATAAACTGGGTGAAAACTCCTGCTGAATCACCCAATAGAAATATTGTGCCTTTCACTGAAAGACTATTCGAAAATGGCAAAACCGAGAACAAAGCAAGAATACTTTTGCAAGGCACTCTATATTTGTAGCTCTGATTTATGTGTGTGGGAAAAGCGGGAGGTGACACTCGGTGGCGCGTAGGGTAATATGAATGAAGCATGTTGTTCAGGTTTTGGAATTATAAAAAATAAACCTTTGTTGAGTTTAAATGAGAGACAAAAGGTACCTTGCAAAGCAGCTGATTTTGCCAAACAGCAAATTATTGCTTGAAGAATTTAAAATCTGTACTGTAGCTTTATTTTATTGAACAGAAAGTCATTTTACACCTTGCTTATTCTGTTAAGTAGAGTTTGTGTTAAGCACAGTACACACACTTTTGTCTGTCGGGGAGCAGGAGCCTATTCCAGAGACATTTTCATTGTGTAGATTCCAAAATACTCTACGGCAGCAGAAGTGAGCAATTACCTGCTCGAAAATGAATGTGTTCCCAAAAGCATATACCTTATGTTATCACAACTTTTGCAAACATTCCTGATACATAACCACATTATGTATTCTATATTTGTATATTTTGTACCATTACAGGAGAATACATACTGTATTTATTATTGTTGTTGCTGCTGGCTTTCAAGCTTTAAATCGCCTACTTACTTCTTCGACTAGCTTGCAGAGAAAGTCATTATACTTAAAACATATACTTAATATAGTCAGAAGGAACATGTAAAAACTTTTCCAAAATAACCACAGTAAGTAACCAAATGAAAGACTTTGATGCTTGAAATGTTTATGAAGAAAGTGGAATACAGTTGTGTATTTTTTATATAAACTACCACTACTAGCCATATACAGTTTGATAATATATTTATATTCCTAAATTAATATTGTTTATGATGTTCAGAGATGTTATGCTCCTCTTATTTTTATGCTCAACTACCAAAATGTACCTTTAGTTGTAAAATTCCACATAAAAATTCAATATTACGCGGATTTAAACATGCACAGTAAAGAGATTAAATGAAGCAATCGTTTCACTAACATCCAATGCACCACATCTGCCACCTTTCGTTCATTTTGGCCAGCCAATCACATACTACAGTATTCCATGCTATTCTGAAGATAAGTTTGCGCAGTATGGTGTTTTACTGCTCATTTTGAATGACTGCATCTATAATTCATCCAGTGCCCTTGTTATATTTGCCTGGTGCGGAATATACACTGCTGTGAGAACTACTGACGTGAACTCCCTCAGTAGATAGAAAGGGAGACATTTTATTGTCAGGTGTTCAAGGTGCGGAGAGCATGATGCTGAAATAATCTCCACGTCTGTGCAGCAGGAGTTGTTTACCATGAAGCATACCCCGCCGCCTCTGCTCTTACCCAAATCCATAGTTCTGTCCTGACAGTGAATAGAAAATCCTCCCGGGAGGATAGCGGAGTCCGGAATAGACGGGTTAAGCCAAGTTTCGGTAAACACCAGCACTTTGCAGCTCTTGATGTCCTTGCTCTCAGTTCATCCAGCTTATTGTCCAATGACTGCACATCAGCAAGAAGTATACTAGGGAGTTGGAGACAATTGCTGTGCTGTCTCAATCTAACCAGATCACCCACTTGTTTACTCATCTTTCTACGGCTTTTAACACAGCAGTACCAATACATCCTACACACAAAGAAGCTGCTTTCTATTTTAGTTGGATTTCCTGGCAGGAATGAAATAGGTGTTGAGGGGAGCTCCTTGAGAACAACACAGACACCCTGCGAGATGAGAACACGAAGAGAAAGAAATATGCACTGTACCGTGTCTTTACTTTGCAACACATACAGTAGCTCATTTCTGTGTTGTTCCCTTCGTACCCCAGAACCCATGTATCCCAATGGTTTGTACGTCAAGCATAATTTTTTTATAAAATATTGTAACCCTTTCTGTGCTCAGTGTGGATGATTGCTTTGGTTTTTTTTCCCTAGCCCTGCTGGTTTGCTCTGGAGCCTATGTCCTGACCAGAGGGACACTGGCAGCATCTCGTAAACTGCACTTTCAGATGCTGAACAGCATTCTACACCAGTCTCTTCAGTTCTTTGACATGACTCCAATTGGCCAGGTCATCAACAGGTTTACTAAGGTAAACTAAACCCTGCCTTGCTCTACTAACAAGTAATGCTTTAATACAAGTAATGTTAAATGGTTAACACAATAAACGACAGAGCCTTTTTGAGTGCAGAGCCACATCTGGGAAGTTCACTGCCAAAAGTCCATTAATGAATCTGTAAATCATATAAATGTTCATATTCTTCCCTTTTCAAGACTTTTCTTTTAAGTTTATATATGTAATTCAATGTGTACGTTTTAAGTAGCTGTTATTTTCTCTCTTTGCATCTACTGTGTTTTATACATGTGCTACTGTACAGTACTTTAAGTTTCTTGAAAGCTGTTTATAAATAAAACTGTATTTCTATTTTGTTAAAAGCTTGAGAAGTTTTAAAATGCTTCAGAATGTAGTGTCTCAATTTTAAGAAAGGAATTAATTGTAGGACCTATTCTTGTGATGGTTTAAGCATTTTTCTTTTTCCATTTTCTAATGGCTTTAAGAAAGGTGTTGCAGGCAATTAAATTTATTACAGCATTTCTTACTTGCCATAACCCTGATTTTTTTTAAATGTTTTTTTGGACTGCACTTCTTTGTAAAGCCACCAGGTGGAGCAGTGAATGCTTAACGTGGTGTGTGGTAACATTTGGGTTGTCGCCTGATGTTGCCTGGTTTTGAATCCCAGTCAATGCTGAAGGACAATCTTTTTCCAATTATAGAATTTAAGTTGTATAACTGTTTAGACTTTTATTAATTTTAAACTGTGTATAGCAGCCATATCACTCTGCAACTCACAGCTGGCAACCCACTGAAGTTAAGCAGGTGTGAGCCTGGTCAGTACCTGGATGGGAGACCTCCTGGGAAAAACTAAGGTTGCTTCTGGAAAAAGTGTAAGTGGGGCCAGCAGGGGGCGCTCACCCTGCGGTCCATGTGGATCCTAATACCCCAGTATAGTTACAGGGATACTATACTGTAAACGGTGTCGTCCTTCAGATGAGACGTAAAACCGAGGTCCTGACTCTCTGTGGTCATTAAAAAAATCCCAGGGTGTTTCTCGAAAAGAGTAGGGGTGTAACCCTGGCATCCTGGCCAAATTTCCTATTGGTCCTTACCAATCATGGCCTCCTAATAATCCCCTTCTATGAACTGGCTTCATTACTCTGTTCTCTCCCCCCCCCACCTCACTAATAGCTGATGTATGGTGAGTATTCCGGCGCACTATGGCTGCTATTGCATCATCCAGGTGGATGCTGCATGCTGGTGGTGGTGGAGGGGAGTCCCCATTACCTGTAAAGCGCTTTGAGAGGAATGATCAGAAAAGTGCTATATAAGTGTAAACAATTATTAGTATATACTGTAAATAAAGAGCATTAAAAGATGAAAGACGAAAGATGTTTCTGAAAGCATGTTTATTTGTCCCCACAGGATATGTATGTGATTGATGAACGATTCCATTACTATCTGCGCACCTGGCTGAACTGCATGTTGGATGTTTTGGGGACAATTCTCATTATCACAGCTGTCACCCCAGCTTTTCTTCTGGTTGTTGTCCCTCTGGCACTCATCTACCTCGCTGTACAGGTATGACAACATAAAAGTCCTCTCTCAGAATGCAGGTTGAGCTATATAACCCACACATTGTTAGTTTCAGCCCACATCAAAGTAGCATAAGAGAGAATAAACTCACTGTGTTGTGGAACATGTAATGGTTAAATCAGCATGGAAAAATAGAAGGAAAAAACACAGTTTTTCATCAGTTGAGTCTCTTTTACATTATTATACTACAACTCTTAACTATTTCATTGCCTTATTTGGGCATCTTCTAAGAAGGTCTTTACCAGACTGTTCCCTTCCAAGATGGCAGTCATCAGGCTTGTAGTGCTACAAAGTCTGTTTGTCTTCTAATATCTGATTCTGGTTCTCATTCTATTCTCATTCTCTTTGATCTCAGTGCTCCTTTCAACACTGTTAACCATGCCATCTTACTTTCTCATCTTGAAACTGTGTTTGGAGTTTCTGACACTGCTCACAAATGGTTCAAGTCTTACCTTGCTGATTGCTGTTGTTTTGTCTCTCTTGGTGAATTTAGGCCTGAAAGTGGGCTCGTTAAGTCTGGTGTTCTTCAGGGCTCAATACTGGGCCCCCTAATTTTCAGCATTTACATGTTTCCACTTGGTCATCTTTTAAGATCACATTGCCTCAGCTATCATTTCTATGCTGACGATACTCAAGTCTACATCCATATTAAACCTGTCACTGTTTTATCTTATTACCTCTTCGACATAATGACTCAGAATGTCCTGTGAAATCTGTGACTGAAGTCGTGCTTATTGGCACCCCCCATCAGCTTTTTGTTAAGCCAGTTCTGTAAGTCTAGGTGTGAATGATACTATACTTCAACTTCAGTCTAAATTGAAAACTTGGGGGTGATTCAGTCTTGACATTGGACCCACATGAGCAACATAATGTCAAAACATCTTTCTTTCACCTCAAAAATATTGCTAGACTACATCCTATGTTATTGCTAACTGTGGCTGAAAACCTGATCAACACCTGAATATCCTGAATTGACTACTATAATGCTCTACTCTCTGGGGTTTCTAAGTCCACATTGAACAAACTCCAGTATGTTCAAAATTTCGTAGCCAGAATCCTGACCAGGTCTAGTGCAAGTGGCCACATTAATCCTGTCCTGGAGTCCATCCACTGGCTTTTTGTCAGGGTTCATATTTGTTTCAAAATCCTCATGCTCACCTACAGTATAAGGATGTGCATAGCTTGGCCCCTCAGTACCTGTCTAAGCTACTATCATTGTACTCCCCACCTCACAACCTTCAGTCTTCTAATTCTGGTCTCCTTTCTCTTGTAACAGACAAATAAGTTCTGGATGCCGAGATTAAGTGAAACTGATGAGTATTGTACGGGTATAAAACTTCCAGTTTATATAGCCCTTTTCTGCCGCTTCTGACGTAGCTCGTTACCATGGTAATGCGGGAGGTCAAGGTATTCGGACAGTTTACAGACTTTGGCCAAATGGTCAGTGTTAGGTTTTCGTCCTTGGGAAGGAAGATTTCTAGCTGGCATCTGGAATCCTTATCAGTTATCCCCTTTCCTGGCATAACTCCAGGCTGTTACTTAGAAGTCCAGTCCTAATGCAGAAAGGACTCAGTTAACCCTTTCTTCACATCTTATATCTTTCTTCATATCTGTCCCCCAAGCCTGTCTACACTATGGGTGATAGGGCCTTCTCCTTTTATGCCCTAAAGCTCCTGAACTCTGTCCCCAAAGACATCACCTTCTCTAAACTCCTTCAAATCTAGACTCAAAACCTTCTTCCAGCAGCCATATCACCCTGCAACTCACAACTGGCAACCCACTGAAGCTAAGCAGGTGTGAGCCTGGTCAGTACCTGGATGGGAGACCTCCTGGGAAAAACTAAGGTTGCTGAAGGAAGAGATGTTAGTGGGGCCAGCAGGGGGCGCTCACCCTGCAGTCTATGTGGATATTAATGCCCCAGTATAGTGACGGGGACACTATACTGTAAACAGGCGCAGTCCTTCAGATGAGATGTAAAACTGAGGTCCTGACTCTCTGTGGTCATTAAAAATCCCAGGGTGTTTCTCGAAAAGAGTAGGGGTGTATCCCTGGCATCCTGGCTAAATTTCCCATTGGCCCTTACCAATCATGACCTCCTAATAATCCCCATCTATGAATTGGCTTCATTAGTCTGATCTCCTCCGCACTGATAGCTGATGTGTGGTGAGCGTTCTGGCTGCCGTTGCATCATCCAGGTGGATGCTGCACATTGGTGGTGGTGGAGGGGATTACCTGTAATGCGCTTTGAGTGGAGTGTCCAGAAAAGCCCTATATAAGAGTAAGCAATAATAATAATTATTATTATTCTATAGAAGAGTCTTTACTTAACTAGTACTGTTCTTTACCCCTGTGTTCCTAATGTATTTAGTACCCTCTTTTTCTGTCTCCTCTGATTGTGTATTCTCAATGTATCTCATGTTTTGTATTTTTCTATTGTTGTTCTGTAAAGCACTTTGAGAAACCACCTTTAAAATTTATTACACTTATACCATGAATGCATAAATATGATCATATGGAATTACTGTCCATCAGGGAAGTGTTGAAGGGAATTGGACTTTCTCAGTTCTTGAGGAATTATTAACAAACAATATTCCAGAACCTTCCTCACCTGAGTCCATACCAGAGATTAGAACAGGTAGACAACAAACATCTGTTCCTCCTAAAAACTGATCAGAAGTACAGTGCATGTCCTGCATTCTGTCAGTCTGAAACTTGGCTGAATAATTCCCTTCCAGATTCGACAATCTTCCTCAGGTTTTACAGTGCATCAGAGCTGAGTAGAGAGGTCAGTTAATTGACTACGTAAATCTAAAGGGTGGAGGCATTTATTTAAAAAAAATGCGAGCGTAATAATTATTCATTTCTATTACTGAATAGTACTATCAGATGAATAACTTTTTATTTACCTAGAGCGTTTGCATAAATTGAGCCAATTGTTGTCTACATTCTACAACAAGTAAATGGTAATGGCGTAATCTGTGAACTAGCACAACATCTCTGATATTAAAAGGTCTAACCCAGACTGGAGAATTATAGTGCTGGGTGATTTTAATCATGCTGACTTGATGCAAGGAGTGCCACAATTCAAATAGCAATTGCCCTACCAGAGTGGACAGAATATTAGATCAGTGTTACTGCACATTGGACAGTTTATCATGCCTATACTAACGCACCACCGGGTACAGATGCAGCCACTCAGATTGACATTGGCTTGCTGTGGCAACACTGCCGAAAGAATCTTCACTGGCTGAAGAAAATAGATACTGTAGGTTAAGCTTTTTGTGTATTAGATATTTGATAAAATATCAGCATCTGTTGTCCCATTTAAATACACTTAATAAGTAATAAAAGGGAAATTTTGGGAACTAAAATGTAACTAAAGGGAAACTTTGGTAGCTGAAAATAAAAATAAGTTTCTGAATGTCATTAACAATATTAATGTTTAATATAAATATCATTATTTAGCTGGATGTGGTAGGGTATTTCTTTCTTTACAAACATCTGCTTCAAATCTTAACTCTACTTCTGGTCATTTTGGAAAACGTTTGACATTCTCTTTCTTATACTTGTAGAAATGAAATAGGTAACCCTAATTGTTTTTATCTTATTCAGAGTGATGCTTAAGTTCTAACAGATAAGGACTCATTCCTTAATGTCTCTTGTGATACATCCATCCATTTTCTGATTGCTGTGTCCAGTGCAGGGTCGCGTTAGCATTGTTATCCACACACCCACACGTTGAACTCGGTACAGCACTAGAGATTAACATGTTGCACCCACATCCACTAAACTTGATCAAAGCATTTTGTTGTTTTTCATCTGCATTAATTTAAATTTGTGGATAAGAGAAAAAAATGAATTAGAAAATTAAGATTCAGTAAAGGATGTTTCAGAAAAGGATTTGTAAATGAAAACACCTCACTAATCTAGCAGTGGGACTGTCATTAAGACACTGTATAGAGATATGAGACTCCAGGCCATTATTTCTAATGTTGGGTGTTAAGTGTTGTAAATCTGTGTGTTCAGAAAATTAGTTAAGTCTTTTTAATAAATTTGCACAAAATTTCCAAAGTCATGGTATCACCCGCTTGTTTTTGAAGTCATACGGAATATGAAATTTGAGAGTATTGTTCACATATAGGAACTTATAGGACTACGTCTGAGTAGATTTGGTGATACAGATGCAGCCATTCAAAGTGCGCCGTACAAACCTGTACTGCACGCAACTCACTACATCATACCGCGGTGCGTGATTGGCTGGCCAAAATGATCGACAGGGGCACTCATAGTGCATTGTTTGGTAATGGAAAGATTTAATCTTTTAATCTCTTTACTGTGCAAGTTTTAATCCGCTTAGTATTGAATATTTATATGGAATTTTACAACTAAAGGGAAATTTTTGTAGCTGGGCATAAAAAGAAGAGGAGCATAACGCATCAGAAGGTCATAAACTATATTAATTTAAGAACATAAACATATGATGTAAACTGTATATTGCTGGTATTGGTACAGATGCAGCCATTCAAAACAAGCGGGTGATACCACGTTAAAACACGGTGCGCTTGTCACAGTATAACATGGGTTACCGTATAATTCATATATAATTCAGCATAATACCGCATGATACCACATGATACCGCAAGTAAAATAATAGTATCCAGAATTTCCACCAGGTGGAGCTAATAAAGCTCACCCTCTCATGTACAGCGTTTGAGCTGTCGCAATCAAAGTCTTTACCGAAGATATTACTAATAGTATTAATAATGAATGACCTTGAACAATCTGTAAACTCAAAGTATTACCCTGGTCTACATTCTTTGTAACTGTCTTTGTAAATGAAAAGACTATTTTTTCATTGACCGTCTTTGTAAGTGAAAATACTTTATTTCTTCATTGACAAAAAGTAACACCACAGCATTTCGTTGATTCAATCACGCATTTGTTTCCAATCATGCAAAGTAATTCTTGAGAATCTCCGATTCACC